AGGCAGGAAACATAACAGTCCATTGTTGGGTTAAGCTATCCAAAAAAATAATCCCAAAAGCAGACTGGAACATTTATAGCTGAAAAAAACTTTTGCATTTATAACCATTTTTAACCATCAGAAATGTTACACCCAGTTCATCTTGCAAATTTCTACTTGAACTTTAACTTTTGAGTGTAAAAGTCCTCCTTCAGGTAAAAGGATTAATTAGGAGCTTCTTTAATTTCTTCTTTTGATCTATTTATCTGAACTCTGTATGAATTCGTTAAGAACCATTCAGAACCACCCTGAACAGCGCAGTTCAAATCTATAAAATGTAATTCACAGATGCCAATAGACCACTTTCATAAATGGCTGCCGGATTGATATTCTTTTGTTTAAATTCAAATTAGCCTCGCTTGAGATAATGCATTCTTTTGAATTTTGAACTGGAGAACGAGGCAAGAAAGGCTAATTTAAATGTAAACAAAAGAATATCAATCCGGCACCCATTTATGAAAGTGGTCAATACAATCCCTTAAAGTGTTGCAAGAGACGCTGAACATGAACCAAAACAAGAATAGTAACCACGGTAAATATAAATAACCTTTGTGAAGAAGTCATTTTCTATATTTTTTGGTTGGAAAACATGAACTTAAAAAGCATTTTCTAGGAAGTACCTAACTGTTTTCAAATTGTGTTTCTCAAACCTCAATCAATGTAATTGGCCAAAAATTCCATAAATATAATTATTACTATTAGTAACTATGTAGCCTTTTTTTAAGGGCCGGAACAAAGTGCTAAGCCAGCTATTATCAATTAAATCATATTGGATGGAATAAAGTTGTCACTGACAGTAATACAACAACTAAAGTGTTTTTCTGTGTGTGCATCACTGCCAGGTCTTAAAACATACATAGCAACTTTTTAGGCTGTTATTGCATGTTTACAAGTCTATACTCTAAAAGGAGACTTGAACACAAGGAACACACAAGGGAAAGAAACACCTTGCGGGATAGGGGTGGAAAGAAAAGAGGTCCAGGACTGAACAGAGTGGTAAATTGAACAAAAGATTTGACTTACGTGCTAAGAAACGAGGTCCAGGACTGAATGGAATGATAAATTGCCCTTACCAAATCTACATATCTGTGACATATATGTGACATAGGTTCAATCGTTGCACATATATGTCACATATATGTGCATATATGTGCCATATAGTTAAAATGCTACAGTCATTTCTACATATATGTCACATATGTCTGCATATATGCGACATATATGAAAATTGGCAAGGATGAAAACATATATGTAACATGTATGCAAGTTTGCACATATATGTAGCATTTATGTTTGCTCATATTTATAGATATATAGCCTTGCATGGACTGATACAGTAAATTGAGGAGTCCCTAATTCCATTGTAGGGTTCAAATATTACATGATGCAGTGCTGTTTTCATTTTTATTACACTGTATGAATAATAAACTTAAAATGGAAAAGTGCTTATATCAATCTCTATAAGCACATTATATATACTCATGCATGCAGATCTGATTGTGAACTATTAAATATTTAACATTTTGCCAATCCTACTTAAATGATAACGTCAGCTTTTACAATCGTAACAGTGGCCAATTTACCATTTCAACTTTGTTGATATAATCAAATTATTTCATTGCCCCTACTGACGCAGCCCCAAACAGTTTCTTTTAGAAACTATCAGCCTCTACTTAAACGATAGCTTGCATGTATCCTGCTTGAACCTTTCTCTCAAATGAATTAATGCAATCCAAGTTTTTGGTGAAGCTAGGCTGGGTTATTTATGCTGTCATCATAACAAAATTGCTTAAATTATTTGATAAAAAGTGAGATTCTTCTGAACTACAAATACCAAAGAGAAATACCTGAATTTCGGTGCCACTAATTCTTTAAATACATGTAGCTAAAACAGGCAAACCATATAGCAAGGATAAGCTCTGATGGTGTGGGTCTCATGGCTTGTGTACAGCTCTACCTTATGGCCCATGCATGTNTGCAATATATATATATATATGAGTTCTATTTTCTTTACATATTAACAGGTTTCGCAAAGCCATGCCTTACAGAAATATATGATTTTGTGATCTCAATTAAGGATTGTGGTTATTCTTTATTGACTGCAATTGTTTTTGGCTAGCTATTATCAACTATAATACATCTATGCCTTTAGGTTGACCTGCATATGCATGCCCTCACCAAATCTACATATATGTGACATACATGTTACACATGTGTGCCACATATATGTGGCATATATGTGCAACGATTGAACTTATGTAACATATATGTCACATATATGTAGATTTGGTAAGGGTGCATTTGTGGTTCCCAGGTTCCACATATATGTTACATATATGTTACATATATGTGATATACATGCAACATGAGTGCCAAATTCCTACATATGCCACATTTATGTTACACATATGTGGCATATATTTGACATATATGCCACATATATGTGGCATACATATGTAACATATATGTTACATATATGTAGGTTTGGTAAGGGTGAACAACAGATTTGACAATCACCTAGAAAAAGCCTTGTAGAACAGCTCTATAACCAGCCCCAACTCTGTCTATAGCAATGATACCAGTTTACAAACAATGACATCACTTTGAGATTTAATACATGCTTGTCCGGTAGGCAAAAGGGCTTGTGTTTAACCACAGCACACAGGAGTGATTTTAGAGGTTCATGTTCAGAATACACGATAAGTTTGGATTCCATAGACCCATAATTATAGTATCAGCAATATTTGGAAAAGGTTCCAGAGCTATGGCCCAATCTTACATATGGAGACATCATGTTGCCTGAATATGGCAAAATCAGATCGCATATGATAATGAAGGCTATGAGATAGTTAGGTTTGTGAGTGATTTGTTCTCTGCAATAACTCTTGGACATCTTGCTTGAGACACTTTTTACCAAAGTTTGTAATAGTGTGAAAGAATACTGTAAAAGCTTGAATTCAACTTAGCCATGCCTTTCAGTGTATGGCTATGAGGCTTTCAGGTTATTATTAATGTCTTAGGTTGCATGGTGTTGTTTTCTTAGATTACTGTTATTGACCACACTAAAGGTCCATTTACAGATATAATTACACAACAGCAAATGTGTAACACCACTGGGCTTTCATCTTTCACTTCCTTCTTAAACATATGATTTGAAATTCACATAATGTGAAGTATTTGTTTGACACGCTATAGTCGCCATGCATACACGTGGTTCCATTATTAAACTCAAGATACAATTCTCCCTTGGAAATTGCAGCACAGATAGTTATATGCCACTATCAGCTTGTGGAAAAATGTTTAAAAAGCAGAATGACTGAAAGGATTATAAAGTTTTAAATTATTTCTATAACCCACACGTATAACACTGTTATGACCTTTGACACATGACAGCCATATTCAACCACCTAAGCTGTTTTTTGCACAGCTTGCTGTCGTAACCAGAAAGAACTGTCAAGCAGGCGAAACCTTTACTTGCGGTTGAATTTCCAACATGATTTTTGGTATGTGCCAGCAGTTGAATTCCCTTCAAACTTTTACAGTGAGGCATTTTCATATTATTCTTGGTAAAAAATCAAAATCAGCTGTGGTGCTTTACAAGACAGCCCTGAAACAACACCTTTTCGATCATTACGTATACTTCCGTAATAATTATAACGCGGGTGATATAAACATTCCCAAATACAGTAGCCTGATAATTTTAATATTTACTTGATTGAAAAATAATAAATTCAACTGGAAAGAGCACATCAAAATTGGTGTTTTGGCTAAGTTTCAAAATGAACTCTTGAAAATATGCAACACACAAGTTCTATTACAGTTAACCGATATACCACCGACCGTTGACCGATACATCAGTGACAGTTGACCGATATACCACCAAGATATGACCAATACTTGACCAAGATGTGTCAATGAAATATCAACCATCAACCAGTATGTTTGTTACTCTTGACCAATATATTGACCAATCTAATGCAGTTGCGAGCACCTACATGAGTAAACATGATCTGAAATAACAAGACTTAAAAAGTGGAAAATCACCATCTTCATCTCTCAATCAAACATTAACACTTTAAAGCAGGTTGTTGTGTGCATGTTGCCACTATCCTAATAGAAGGCAAAATTGTGTCTCAATTGGAGACCTCCATGGAATGACTCGTATACACTATAATTAATTCAAAGTTGATTGAATCAAAAACCACCATGAAAGGAGAAAGAAGGATGGGGATAGGCCAGCAAAAAAAGAGTGTATCGATAGTGATGATCTTGATTCAAAGTGCTAAATAAACAAGTGTACGGTAATCAAGGTTGCAAGTGGAATCCAACCTTGAGAAATACAGAAAATTAATCTTTTTGCATTTGCTAATGCAGTGTCTACCGTTCAGATAACTCACAACCGCTCATGACAGACTTTTTCCCGAAAGCACAACAAGTTTGGATCGGTCAACGACATTAAGAGTCGAAAAAAATCACATGACCGCAATGTAATTCGCGACATCAAGTGAACTAAAAGATCGCGAATTCCTTGTTTCCTTGACATAAATTTCACTACTGAATCCACAAGAGCCAGTATATTACTAGCTGAGTATGATGTGATCAGTAAAGGAAGTCAAAATATATATGCAGTGGATAAGAAAACTGCATAACTTGTTACGGTAGGATGCTTCCGGGAGGGGCATATCAACATGCGTCACATGAGGAAATATTCCCTTGGAGAGCACTTTCACACTCGAAAGGCTCGGAATTATCGATCAGTATAATGATCATGACTCAAATTTCGACATGGTTATATACAGAAACACATTTTAAGACTTTTCAAGTTGATATTAAAGCTAACTATTTCACAAATAACCCTAGATAATTAGTCATCAAGCACCAGACGAAAATTAAATCACGCATTAATTTAATTTTTGAGCAGGATTTTCGTTCATAGAACCACCCCCAAATAGAAAATTTACCTTTAACTTGTTCCTCACTTCTATTGTCATGTTTTCCCCCTGTTCCATCGCCTTTCAGGTCCTCGCTCGAAACAGCTGGCACGATCTTTGGTTCCTTCGGTGGGTTATCTTGATCGCGTGCCAGACGATAACCACAAACTGGGCAGAATTTAAATTCAGGTTGCAATTTTGTGTTTTCACAATTTGGACACTTCATCGCGTAAAAATTACGGCTGCATCTCGTTTTTTAAACGCTACTCATGTTGCATGGATATGCAGCCAATGAAGAGGTTATGTTGTATGTGGTGCAATCGCATTGAAATGTTCCTGGGAATAGCGGAGTCGTTTCTTAGAAATTAAGCGGAAGTGGCTAGTCACTATGTCCGGAATGCGAGACGACACCTGATTATGCGAGTCTGCCTTTTACTCGAGCGTCGAGGGTCGAGTGACATGGCGAGAGTGAGGGTAATACGTCGAGGGTCCAGAATCTTCAAAAAGTTCGACTACAAATGTCAATTCTCCCGTGTGCTATCGTGTAATGCCTTTGTTTCTAAGCTAGAGTGGGACCTCTCCACAAGGCTACAAAACTTCCGGCCTTTTCCTCCGATCGACTGATGAAATTATTCCGCCATTTTGCATCACCCCAGGTGATGCGAGACAGAAACAACGCTGTGGCTCAGCAAATACAAGTTCATAAGTGCTCATTTCCATCTATTGTTCTGTTGTTTGGCGAACTGTAAAAGTCTGTTGCTTGAAACTATTTGATTTTCTTGGAAAAATTGCGTTGTTTGTATTCTCGGAATATGCCTTCTTTGAATAAAGTTCTCGTTTGGTTAAAGTTTTCTTATATGGAAAACGTGAAATTTTCCTGGGTTTACGATCTTCTAGCATAGTTAGTAGAGACAACTTGCTGGAAAACCACAAGCATATCAACAGTCTTAATTGTAGTGGACTATGGACTATAACCAAAGATGCTCAGCTTATATTTGAACAATCTGAATACTATTTTAGACTTGCTACTTCGAATTCAACATCACATAGGATAGATTGCAGTCGTATTGTTTCAAGAGCTGTAGTCGATGTTGATGTCACGGCATACAATTCCTTGCTGTCTATATAGTGAGCTTGTTGTGCCAAGCAGTGTTGCTAAAGATGTATTGCACAACATAATTCAGCTATATACAAAGGTGCATTCTTTCTCATTTGCAAAGAACATCATACAAAAACATGAAGTTGAGGCAAAGCAGCTGAAATCGAAGGCATTGCGCAAAGAAATAAAGAGCTTCCAAAGCTATTGATCAGAACCAGGGTTAATTAACACTGTCAGGACAGACTAAGCTATTAACCCTAGTAAGCTTTATTTCAAATTTAATAAATACATTAACATTTACTGTTTACTATCTGTTTGTGCATATTTCAAGACTACATAGTTCAAAGGCTATGAAAACAACCAATAAATTCTTCATATTGTTTATGGACAACACATTATAATAAAATATTCCAGTGCTGAGAAATAGTAGTTACATTTTGCTGGGTGAACACTTTCAAGAGTGATTTTATAAATCTGCGAAACAATGTTATAGCTTAGTTTAATAATTAGACTAATAATGTATTGAGAACAGGTTACAAATAGTGTATTTTACCAGCTTTGATTTCACAGGTCTTTGAAAACCTTTTTAATTACACTGATCTTTTGGCTGATCTTTTAAGCACTGGTTCATCACTTACATTTACCCAGGCTTTTCTTTTATCTCTCCTACTAGGCGTGTTTCCACTTTGACATGAAACTGATCTCTGAATGCAAACAGTATTATTATTATTATAGCCGAATGACCTAACATTTGGATTGTTGTTTCCTCTCCCTAATTTCCTTTGGTTTCCAAAGTATTCCTCCAAGCTGTCCTGGCAAAACCTTTCTGTGAGCACATACTGCATACCCTTGCCAAGGAGAAACCTATAAATACAAATATATGTAAATAGAGCTTCTTTCTATTTTGTATCAAATTTGATTGATATCATCACAGGGGATGCAATAATGTCAAACTTATTAGTGCAAAGAGTGGTTTGAAAAAATCAATGAAATAATATACTGATACATTTCAAAATCAATGTATTTATTTTGCAAATCACTCTGTTGGACAGTTTCTGTCCATTTTGTATCATATTTGATTGATAATATCATCACAGGGGATGCAATAATGTCAAGCTTCTTAGAGTAAAGAGTGGTTTGCAAAAATAAATGAAATAATATACTGATACATATCAAAAGCAATGTAATGATTTTGCAAACCAGCCTATGCTGGACAGCTTCTGTCCATTTTGTATCATACATGATTGATATTATCATCACAGGGGATGCAATAATGAATGAAATAATATACTGCTACATATCAAAATCAATGTATTGATTTTGCAAATCACTGCTGGACAGCTTCTGTCCATTTTGTATCATATTTGATTGATAATATAAAACGTCATTTGTTTTGACATTGCAGTTAGAAGATAAAAAAGAGCTAAATACTTACATATTTCTATGTCCTCAGGCTTGAAATGCTTTTCACAAGTGTATACCTTGTCATTACTGATTTGGTTTTAAAACTTCTTGTCGACAACTCGGTATTTTTTTAGCTCGTTAAGCCAAGCTTCCCGCCATTTTCGGTAGCCTTCGCTTTTAGCTGTAGGCAGCTTCCAGATGCCAATTCCTTTCGAACGATGGCATGAACCACATCTTACAACAGAGCAGTTGTCTCCTGGCATTTCACTTTTAGGATTCTTGATAATTCGATCTGAATTTAGCGCTATTGGCTTCATAAAAGACAGTTTTACACGACCAACATAACTACGACCATCATGGAAGACGCCATCTTGATTTCTTGTGTGCACGGTCGTGTGACGTCACAAGCGATAAACTTGAACAAAGACTTACTTTCTTTAAGTTCGCCGACCTTCTTAACCAGTCCCGTCTACTAACTATGCTTCTTGTGATAATACCCAACGCGTATTCAAAACACTTTTAGCACATGTAAAATGTTTACGATTTCGGGACTAAGCAGAGAATAAAAATTATGAATGTTAATGAGAATTGTGTCGCGTTTTTGCAAAAATAGAATCGACGCTATGACTCAAGAAGAAAAAAATTAATTGTAAGAGCAGATCGAATTTAACATGTTTTAACTGGTCTTAAGGGGGTCCAGAAGGGGAGGGTCCACGTTCTGTACCGAATGCTGTACCTTCATTCGACAATTCTTGTTAGCTATGATGGTACTTATTACTATTACTATTAATTACTGAAATAGCTATCAAATGCCGTTCGAAAAACCGTATCTAGGGAATTTTTGCTACAGCTTATTGACGCATAATTATATTAAATTGAAATGAATTAAGAATATCATACTGCTCCTGATTTAAGGAAGCATAGACGGTTTGGTCAATGTCCACAAGTCCTGTGAAAAGAGGATTTTTCCTTGAAATGTGCGACGGAATCGGATGATAATATGTATTGCTAAAATCACTGCTGTACACTAGCTGTCCAGTTTGCTCGTTTCTCCTTGTTACTCTCCTGTCCACATGTTTAATGACTATATTTGTCGTTGGAGTTATGTACATCGGAGAAAAACAACCTCATATGCATTAGGTGGCATTCCAGCATTCCACGACGGAGCCGGTGCTTGTTGCGGCAATGCTGTTCCAATTGGCGGAACCGGTGGGGGCACCTGCATGGGTATACGATGGTAAATTTGAGGCGAGGGTGTTACTTGTAGCGGTTGAATACAAAGAGGGGTCTGAAAAGGCACTCGCGCTGATAGCTGAGGAGCCAGTATGCGGGGGGATCCTTGTATCAGTGTATTTTGTGGCAGCATTGGCGATGGTAACTGCAGTGCTGCAGAGGACATCTGTGGTGCCATAGGTGTCACAACATTTGGTTGCTGGAGTGTGGGAGTACTGTTAATCTCACTCTTTGCAAGATATTTCTTCGAATTCCGTTTTGATTTTTTTCTACCGCCAGGATGGTGTGACGATTGAGGGTCAATCAATAAGCCGTATTGTTCGTTGTCATCTGCAAACATCTCTTTTCCTATGGATCGGGCTTTATTTATCTGGCTAGCATGTCTTCTCTGCCGATCCGCAAAAGAAGGGCCACTTCAACCTGATGCGGAACCAGACTGGTAGTTTTTTAGTTCAACGTCAAGCAACAAAGAATCTCGTGTGTCCGTTTGACATTCATTTAGCAGTGATAAATTGGGGCGGTCTCTGTGCACCCAACCAGCGTGGATCACCTCTGCTTGATTCACCTGTGGTGCATCTTGAACAGCAAATGCGCGAAAAATGAATCCACGTCTGTCGTGCCACCAAGAAACCCAATCTACTGAGAAATCTCTCTCTTCTTTTGTACTGACGAATTTGTCCATGAGTCCCTTTGCAGATTCATAACCTTCTGCGGTCGTACTATGCAACAGTCTATCGCAAATTCTCTTAAACTCTTCAGCACTATCTGGGTCTAGTTTTTGTGCTTTTTTGTTGCGATGGTCCATGAAGTGGAACTCACACGATTTTATTAGGCCTGCATTACCATAAACTCTCGTAATACCTGCTAGGTTAGCACCCGCCATATCGCTGCACCAACCGATTGGATTGAATTTTATTGAAGGATCGTTTGCCACTTTTCCCAGCGCCTCGTTAAAAAGCGTCCGAAACAATTCTACATTTGTTGTATCCTCTCTCTCTGTTTCCATGATCGCCAGAGGGATCTGCTTTCGTAACAATGGATGATATACTGATGTTGTTAAGGTTATAAAACCCCTGCAACGTTTTCGCTTTCCGTCAAAAAACAGAATTCGTTTTTCATAAAGTTCTGGCCGTCTTTGTCCATGCTTAAAGCAATTTTTACTTTTGAAGAACTAGTTTTGAAGACAAAAGATGGCTTGTCGGGATTTCCTCTTCTGTCGTTTACCTTATAGATATATAACAAATCCCGTTTATCAGAACACTCTTTGAACGAAACGACGGCCTCAAAGTTATAGCCAAACGGCTCAATTTCTCTTTTAACCTTCTGCTTTATATTAGACATACGTTTTTTGTCGATGATGACAGCGGCTTCTTTCTCAACCTCGTCCCAGTCCATTTCTTGCTGAAAGGCGGAAAGAACAAAGGTAGACTGTATTTCACAAGGCTTTACAATTGGGTTATCCCTGATCAGTTGTTCGACAGCCTTGAGGTCTTTTTTTTTCTGTATCGAGGTAACAGGACATGAGTGTTCCCCAATGTGATAGACGGTAACCTTATTTTTCCCGTAACTTAGGTACCTACGTGCAGCGCA